GTGGCTTTTTCTTATGCGGTTTTTGTGCGTTTTTTTATGTGCGATATTTTTATGGGGTGATGAATTTCGGGTTTTTTTGGCCCCACTGAATTTTTTCATCTATTTCCCAGGGTGTAAGGGAACGTTAGGACCCCTCCTGAAAGTGGTTTGTTTTAATATTTTATACATTGGGTAAATAGTATTTGGCGTAAGCAGGCCCTTTGGGGCCCCCTAGAGACCTCCCCCCCACCCGTGATGCGGGGTTTGCTTGCCACTGAAATGTAGACATTTCAAGAGGCCAGTTCATTTGTTATAAACGTCTCCCGACAATGAGCATTCAGTTGTTTTCTCAACGCCCAGCAGCCCCGCGCTTGATTAAAGCGAAGCTTTCAATGAAGTGAATTACAATAATTTGTAAATTATGAAGCATAAACCAATTTTTTTAATAAAAAATATGCAGGGACCCAGCTTTCCCAAAAAATTTAAAATAAATTTTTTTAAAAATAGATACCAGTTAAGAAAGGGTATAAAATTAAAAAAAGTGTTCAATCATGTATATATCTGGTTATCTGACATTTAAAAACTGTGTGTGGGGACCACCGCCCTTCAACCCAAAAAATTTATCTCTTACTTTATGCTAAAAAAAATAAACCTTGAAATTGCCCCTTCAAGTGACGGAAAGTGATATTTGTTTATTCTTTAAGGACTTTTTTAGATGAGTAGCGATGAATTATGAGTAGATTTTAAAGACTTATCCGTTTAAATGAGAAACTATATTTTTAAAAAAAGTTTTCCAAGTAATATTTAATTATTTATTTTGTTATGGAAGTATTTCATTTTTTGTAAATAATTGAATTTTTTAAAGGATTTTTTTTTGCGGTCCCCCATCCACCGTAAAAAATTTTTTATATTTCCCAGAATTAGTTGTTATAAGTAAAATTTAGAAATTTTTTTTAATATTTTTTTTGGGAATTTTTTTTTGGGGCCCTATTTCCGCACAAAAAAAAGGTTCATCTGTTCTTTTTAAAAAACCGTCGTACACGAAGGGCTAAAGCTAAAGACCGAATGATTTTTTTGATTTTTAACACATCTTTAAGTCCTAAAATTGCTAAATAAACCAGATATCACTAATATTTTACAGCACAAAAAATTCTTTTTGGGGAATTATAGAATTTTAAAATTATTTACTTTTTGCACAAAAAAACAGGTTTTACAAGTAAACTTAATTTAAGGATATATTTAAAGAAACATTTTTTCTTTTCATTAATACACAAAATACATTACAGTGTGCATTTTGAGTGAAGTTTCGATTGAATGTTTTTAAAGCACTGCATTCTAGGTCTGTCAGTACTCACTTATTAATCATTATCGCTTTTGGTTATTTCTATTGTAAAAAAAATCGTTTTATTTTGAGTCTAAAATCATCAAATAAAATTAAGTCCTTTTCCATTTTGTCTAAAATTCTACACCTTTGTGCCAATGTTAAATTTTTTGAAATCCTTTTTTTAGGTGTATCTCTCTCTAATCTTCATATTATAGAACATTCTTTCCACATAGATAGGTTCTGGTTAATACATTTTGTTCCCTCCATATGAGCGGAATCCATCCTAAAGTGTCTCTTTAATATTTACTTCGTTATTCGGTTTCGGAATTTCTTCCCTATAATATCCAACTGTGGACATCAGTTCGAATGCCAATTGTTCATGCCTTGAGAAGATATCTTGAATTCAAGTAAGTAATGCAATCATTTAGGCAAACAGCCATTCTAAGCAAATGGAAAATGGAGTAGAAATTTCAGGCTCAAAGGGAAGTATCTCTTCAGAATTAATAAGTAAATTAACAGAAAATTAAATTACATAAAAAAAAACAGATAAAAATGAGTACAAAGTATAAAAATATGGGGAAGCTGCATAATTTCCTTCATAAACCTCCGTTTATCTTAGTTGCCTCAAAGTATCCTAAGGGACTCATCCAGGTATTGGACTTGTACCTGTTTATTATCATCTTTTTTTGATGTATTTAAGAAAATTTAAAATAAATAATGGTTAACAGTAAAGTTTTTGTTTTAAATTTTGTGAAAAATTAATATGGCTTCAGTTACTATTCATGAGCTTTACAGAATTAATAACCCTTAAAGAGAATAACTATAATTATTACTGTTTTATACTTTTGAATTTTTTTAGAGGTTAACACCATAGATTAAACTATAATCATCCTGAATTCGATTTTCCATAACACGAGGTCACCCTCAGTCGAAGCAGACGTGGGGAAAGGGCCAAAACCACCAGAGAGGGGTAGGCTTCGAACGAAATTGAAAAACCAAAATTAAATTTTTATGAATCATTTGCTCAAATGCCTATGTCAAATAGAAAATAAAACACAGTAGCGCCCATCTAACATTCGTGAAGAGAGGATTCAGCACTTATAAAACATATTTTCACCATTAACGGGTTCCTTTTTTGAAGTTATACTTCTTTTTGGGGCGTTAGAGAAATAGGATGAGGGTAAATTTTTACAATGCGTGCGCACCCGTCACGGATGCGCGAAAATCCTTTGTCTAAAATATACAGAACGGGACAAATTATTCCGTCTTTGAAATTCTCAGAAAAATATATCTCTTCACTTCCGAAGAAGGGGGCACCTGGGATTGAACCGGAGACTTCTCGATCTGCAGCCGAATCTGTACCACTGGGCTATACACCCCCGCGAACATTTTTCTTTGTGTTCCGTATACGAAAATGCTTTGTCTAGGAATATACAGAACGGGGCAGATCATTGCCACCTTCGAAATTTTAAAAAAAATTTAAATTTCTCTTCACTTCCTGAAAATGGGGCACCCGGGTTTGAAACGGGGGCCCCTCGATCTCAGTCGAATGCTCTACCACTGAGCTATACACCCCGTGTCCGAGAGCCTTTCTTTGCGTTCCGTAGGAACGGATACGAAATCTTTGTCTAGAAATACACAGAATGGGGATCATTTCCGCCATCAAAATCTTCAAAATAATTTTCTCTTCCTGAAGAAGGGGGCATCTGGGTTTGAACAGGGACCTCTTAAACTGCCGTCAAAAGCTCTACCACTGAGCTATATCCCCGCATCAGCGAACCTTTGCTTTGCGTTCCGTAGGAACGGATACCAAATCTTTGTCTAGAAATATGCAGAACGGGGCAGATCATTCCGCCTTCGACCCCCCTCCCCCTATTATTGGTCCTATTGTCCCCGTGCGGGGTGTTTAAATTTATTTAAATCGTGATTATCTCAGGTTTGGCTGGTCCGATTGACTGAAGGTTAGTATCATTCAACTCTGCTCGTGACCGCCTTTCGTCCTTGGCCCAGCTTGCCCTGCTAAAGATTTTAATCTTGTTACGCCAAAAAGTATAACTTCTACGTGCGTACATAAGTACACGCACACTTTATTTCCTTCTTTTCAAACCCTACTATTAGTTCACTTCTCTCCCCATGTATATAGCATATACACACACTCTAAAATAACAATAAATAAAACGATTTACCCAAGAAATAAGTTGTCCGATAGAGATGTAAAAATTGGTGGGTAGAAAAGATTATGTATGCAAAATGTAAAATTATTCAAACTCTGTGAAAATTGGAATGATTTATATTAGGAGTTACATAGCTGGCAAAGTAATTTGAGTATGAGGCGTGCTGCTGGACTCCACTTAGCCTGATATGCTTACTGCTACGACGTGGGTATAAATTTATAAAGCACTTGATGGTCTCTCTCTTGCGGTTTTGCCAAATTTGCTCCTTAAATTGTCGGCCAGACTGGCTAATATTATTACCTAGCAGGATGCAGCTCGCCTTCAAATCATTTCCTAGGATATGCCTGGATTGAAGGTATACCTGGGGGCGATCTGTCTGGTCAAGTATGCTTTTGACGAACTTTTAGATAGCTGAGCAACATGTGCTATGTATGTGATCCGGCATTATCTGCTGAAAATAAGGCCAGGTTACTGCAAAAAGGAAACGCAGCAAAAATAGTTCCTCAGAATGTCATCGACGCACTGCTGGGCTGTAAGTGAATCCTCTAATGACAGATACCCAGCGTCCGACTGTGAAAGAAATGGCACCCCAGACCATAATTCCTGGTTTATGACCTATGTGGCGTGCACAGAAGAAGTAAGATCAGCATTGCCCTGGGCATCTCCCAGACACTGCCCCAAATGATCGCTTCGTGGGTACAGCAGCGGGTTCTGCCGGCAAACACTATACGTCCCCAGCCAGGGCGCCGATTCCAACCTGATCGAGCGCCGAAGCATCACTGTAATCTGGCCCAACAGTGTGCGCGTGAGTAGCAGGGGGGCGTAGTAGTGGTCGTACGAGCGTAAATTTCGTCCTATCAGCTGTCTGTGAATGGTCATGTTGGATACTCGTGTGCGGGCCGTAAGTTTGATGGTTGATAATGATGGAAGTCTGGGGGCTGTGAGCAGTTGATCTGTCAATCAATCTGTTCTCCTTGATCTGCTGCGACTATAGCCTGCCTGGGCTACCATCATGACGCCGAAATCTGCTTAAGTATTGGGTTCCACCTAGCCTTTGCCAGCATCTTCTAATTCGCTGTATCGCTTCGACCATGTGACGAGCGATTCTCCGACGGCCTTACCTGCCTTCAATCCAATGATACGACCTCTTTCAAACTCTGACAGCTGCTTGTAATGAGCTTCAATCCCGCGGTGAGGCATTTTTCAGTCGTTGAAAGGTATCCTAAATCGCAATGTAACAGAAATTGTGACCATCAGATTAAGAATCACTTCTTATAGACACTAGTTGGAGTGCGCAGTCCTGCTATTCATTCATTATTACTAAATTTTAATCTCATTCGCATGTCTAGTGTATAAAGTTCGTCTTTTGTATACGAAATTTCATTATTAAGCAAAATCAGGAAATCCCCTTCTTTTGGTGCGTCGTTTTTCTTTTGTTATATGTATGTAAATCTTTATATATAAAGTAAATCTTCTGTGTATGTGACTGAACTCCTCCCCAAGCGGCTGGACTGATTCTCTCGATGAAATCTTTTGAGGGTTCATGGACTCTCGAGAATTGTTTAGGAATCGCACTGGTCCAATATCGCAATTAGTTTAAAGCAAGATATTAATAAAAAATATTAAAAACACAATAACTCAACATTCACTGCATTTGTTGTAAATAACGTTATTGCTATAAAAAGATGTAAGATGGCGTCGAAAATCGATTTCCTGTACAAATTGGCCAAAACTTCGGCCCTCATTGTTACAAAATTGCAGATGAATCAAGTGCTTCTTAGCGTTTCCCACTGTGATATCTTTTCAAATAATCTTTATATATGTAGTTCTTGAGTGTGTGTATGTGATAGAATCCTTCCTAAAACGGCTGGACTGATTTGATGATATTTTTGTGTGGGTTCCAGTGGATTCGCTAATGGTTTAGATCTTCACAATTCGGGTCCAATATCAGTAAATTAAAATGATATTAATTAAAAACCTTCAAAAGCATAAATTATTTTACTTCCATGTATGCTGTTTATTGTGCCAATGCGCGGCAAGAAAAAAAAAAAGAGAATAGGAGAAATTTTTCTGATATTTTCAGGGTTTTGGGAAAATCTCTGGTAACTTACTTTTTCTATCATAATTAGACAAAAAATAATTACAGTATTGGAAAAAGATTATTTATTCTGCCCAGATACGGTGTATTACTCCTATATATATAAATCTTGCGTGTATGTGACTGAATCCCTCCCTGCCAAGCGGCCGCAACTGATCTGGATGATATTTTTGTGGGTCTAAAATGGAATTGAGAATGGTTTAGATTCACAATTCGGTCCGATATAAAGTATCTAGTTAAAATGCGCCAAAATTATGTATATGGGCGCAAATGATTGTTCATAAAAATCGTAAGTACATTCTTGGAGGCCAGTCACTATGCCAACAAACTCTCAAGTGAAGCTGTACTCTACCATGATTCCAATGATTCTTCTAGACTCCGGGCCTACCCCTGCTAAAATAAGCCTTGTAATTCCCCATTTACTTGTTACTTGCTTGGTGGCCATTAATAAGTCAAGGCCAAATGTTACAATTTTGTGGCTTAGGATTTAGAAAAACCCTTGCTGTTCGCTATACTTGCCAATTATATGTTGCATGTCCGAGGCTTGGCAAACTAATGCAATGGCTTGTTTATACTCTCAGGATTAATCTCAAAATATTGTACATTCAATGGCATTGCTGGATGAATTTATTTTTGCATTAAAAAATATACTCTGTTATGAATCACTTTTATAGATACCAAGTTGAGTATGCAGCTCTGATACGCTGTGTAGCTCCTGCTTATTCAGTCTATTGGCTACCAAATTTTTAATCATTTATATGTTCGGTACAAATGTTTTGGGTATTACGGAAATTTCATTACAATCGAAACTCTTCTTGGCGCATCGTTTTTCTTTGTTATAGAGAGTAAATATATATATATATATATATATATATATATATATATATATATATATATATAAATGCTATGTTGGTTTGTGTATCCTTCAATAACTGAAAATGTTTTGCATCGATTTTATCTGGAAATTTTGACATAAAGCGTACCTGAATTCAGGCGGGTTTTGCGTACTTTTCTACATCAGAAATTCGCCTCTAAATCTTTAAAAATTAATTTTAAGTGATGTGCCTTGCCTTGCTGACGCCAAAGGATGTCATACTTCTCTGAATGCGAAAAATTTAAAAATTTACATATAGTTTTGTCTGGATTATTAAGTATATTTTACCATAGTTATGTTCTAGTGGATTGCCATATTTATCTATTTTTTATTCTTGATATGTACGCCCAAATAAAATATACGTTTTCTTAATTATTAGAAATCTTCGGCGTATAACGCGCACTTCTGGGAATATGGGCAAAAAAATAAGATCGGTGTACCAAGGGTGCGCAAGTTATACGCCGAGTATATAAAACGATAGCTTTGAAATAATAAAAAAGGATGTGTATAAAAAAGATTTACTTCTAGATGCATCGAAAATACTGTTTATTTTAAAAAGAAACGTCAGGTCCTTATGAATGCTAGAACAGCTGTAATTTCTGAAGCATAAGTAATTTTTTCAAAAAGTCTGGGATACTACCTGAATAAATGACTTCAATATATAAAATAAATGTAGGCTTCTTATGTGTTCTGGGGATTTCGTTAAAAAGTAAGTGCGTTATATGAAAGCGAATATGCCTAAAATTTAAAAATTTAGCTTGAAAGTATAGGTGCGCGTTATATACCGGTGCGCATTATACGCCGATTTACGGTAATAATTTTTAAAACATTCTTCAAATAACTCACCCTTGTTTTGTAGTTTTGGTAACATTCCGAAAGCCTTTAACGCGGGATGTTTCATGATTTTATTTCTTTTTTTTTAGTTTTACGTCGTGTTCTTTCTGTAATTTTTGCCACCTTGGTTGTTGTTTTAATTCAACGAAGACTATATATAATTATATTTGACTGTACGCAGCATATTTTCTGCGAAATAGTTGCTAAATTCTCTGTACAGATTTGATGCGTTACATTAAACTGACTGCCTGGAAATACATAGCAAACGAGTAGCGTACTGAAAAAATAGCTTTCTGCATATTTTACCTTTCTCCACTAACTTTTATCAAATTAATTTTTTATATTTACTTTTTGTATATTATCGTTTTTTTCTCTGTCGATAATTTATATCACAAATTCCACAGACGTCACTAAATGATATATGCATTCAATGTTTGAAATCCGTTTCAGTATATTTGAATATACATTTTTTTCCACTTGAGATATTTAGAATTTGGCGGAATTAATTGACGGATCTGGAAATAAGTATGTTTTTTCTTCTATTTTAAATACCTTGAATTTCATTTAAAGTTATTATTGAAATACAAACGCAAAATTTAGGCTCTTTTAGGATATATACACTCATGGATGAAAAATTAGCGTACCAAGAAGCAATTGTGGATCGTAATGAAACTTGGCTTGAAGGGGTACATATATCAAAGATATGCAAATGGGGCATTACGTGAAGTAGCCAAGTAGAGGGTCTTGCACGTCGTTCTCCGTGGAGTATAAAACAGGTAATACCGCTT